TCTCTTTTCCAAGAAAATTACCAAATAAGGAAATTTTTAGGAAAAAGGGGATCAGCGGAAAGAGTTTTTTTTTTTTTAGAATAGATCCAATCATTAGGACAAAGTAATTATTTATGCAATATACATTATTTAATTTCTTTATTATATTATCAGATCTTAATTATATTTAGCTAGCAGATTATCCAAGTAAGCAGATCTAACATCTTGACTTTATTTAACAAATCTGATAAATTTGATCACTTTGATTATTTTGATTATTAAATAATTAATTTTCAATTATGTATATAAAGATCAACTGTTTAAAACAGGTTTTATCTATTGAATTTTCTTATTATTGATATTATATATCTCTAATAAACCTTCTAATTAAATCAAATTACTGAAAACCTCTTTTAACATATTTGTGTAATCTCTACTATCCTTGAATTATCAACTTTAGTATATCATAACTAAAGTATTTTCCCTCAACTTAAAGTGAATTATTGCTATAGTTATTCCATCTATCTATCTGATTTGGAGATTATTGACAATAATTCAAGTATTTTTGTTACTTTAAAATTAACTAAATTATATTGAAAAAAAAAATTATATATATTGAAAAAAATTATTTTTTATATAAAATATAAAATATTTTTGAAAAAATAACACTCAAATAATTGAATTCAAAATATAGCTGAGTCTTTCAACTATTTTATTATTAATTAAAATATAAATAAAAAATTATATTTAATATAATTTGTCAAATTAAAAATTTTTTTAAAAAATAAAATTTGAATAATTAAAAAAATAAAACTAAATAAAAATATAATATAATCTTTTCACTATTCTAAAATGAACTAAAATATATTAAAAATTAAATCCAATTTTAATATTTTTTAAAAAAAAAGTAAAACTCAAATAACTAAACTTGGGGTATAGCCCAAACCTTTACACTTGTAAAGGCTCATAAATCTGACCAAAAAAGTAAAAGTTGATCTCACTTTGCCACGAATATAAAAATGATCGAGATCATGATCGTATTACGATTATATGATATGATCGCGAAGTCATCGCGTTATCGTCACAATCACGTCTAATAATGTGGAAACATTCGCCGAATTTGAGCGGGTTTCAATTAAGACAAGCTTTAAAAAAATTGGAAAGTCATCTTTTGCTAATAAGAACGCTTTTTTTCTTTTTACTTAAAGATTCGTAAGTGTAAAAATTGATATCGGGCTGAAGATACAAAAAAGTCCTACTGGTCGTAGCGGGAAAAAAAAAAGTGCAGGAGTACTATTTATTGTAAACAGAGTAAAAACATGATTGATAATCATATTTGTTTCGCCATTTGTCATTTATGACAGTAAATGTCAATCAACACTTGTCTAGTACATACTGTAAATGTACAAGCCATACTCCATGTTGAAAGTATGTATAGACACACAACGGAAAAATAATTATGATATACTGTAAATGTGGTGTTTGTGACGCTAATTCTTTTTCTACCTTTATTATAAATTATGAAAAAAATAATGGTTAGATTGGTTTAATATTTGGGCATTTCTAAACGTAAGAACACACGATGGAGTTTTAACTAACTTCACATCGTGCTCTCATACATATTATTTCAGGTTTTTAATTTCACCGTTTTGTATTCTTGATGTTTTTCGAATATAAGCCAGGAAGTTTGCAAAGCATTCCGGAACTTTCAAGTTCCTATAGCAAAAATGACTTTGACGCAGAAAAATTTTTTTTTTAAGACAAAATTTCATGTTGGAATTTGTTTTTTCTTATCGTTATAATTTTATTCCTTTAATTCCGTTCAATTCACTTAACATTTAATAGGTTCAAATTAGAAAGAAATCTAGTCTTCTTCAAAAATGAATCCCAAACTCTTGACTATTTTGTCGTTAGTTCTCGCTACTTTATTCTCCATGACAATCGCATATCCGTCTGAGGTTGGCAAAAGTAAATTTAAATGATTTCTCTTATATTCCTCAATCGACGATCTATTATTTCTGTATGTAACATTCACTAACTTGACTTGTAATATCAAGGAGAAGCGATTCCTCAAATTGATAAAAGTAAATGTTATTTTATTTTTCTTCAGACATCCACTAACTTGATTTGCATAGCAAATTTAAAATTTATTCCTGTTTCAAAGGAACATCGAATGCGAGTACCATCAACTTCGTTACCGATGATCTTAATGTCGTCAGCCATTTCGAATCCGCAGGTGATGACGGTTGCATTATGTTCTATACCAATATCATCAATATCTCTAAAATTAGTGGTCTGTTATGCTTGAATGAATTTCGCCTTAATTTTTGCGTATATATTCTTGGTAATAATGTCGGATGTATGGATGGAGATCTCAAAAAGGGAATCAGGTTTAAGATAAACTTTTTTCTAGTCAAAGGATCTTTGAAATTCTATATGAATGGAACTTGTCCATCCTTGGCTTACGATCTCATTCCTACATGGGAGAAATCTGTGTATGCCGGAGAATTTAAGATATTATGTAATCAAAACATGTGATCTTTAGAAATTAGTACAGTACGTATTAAGAATAAAAGTTAATTCGGTATTACTTTGATTTCATTGGTCATGTAAAGTTGCATAATTTTTTATGTTTAAACCTCGGCAAGATAATAAAATGATCCCTGGTTTTCAAGTGTTCGCACAAAATTATGATCAGAGTCTGGCCAGATCTTTAGGCGAACATGATTCGTGCTGAACAGACCTTTGTGCAGAATTATGATTCGCATTCGCTCGGAATTACAATCCAAGTCTGGCCAAATTTATAATCGCTCTTTTCAATGAAGTTTGTCGCGTTCGATCTTCGCCCAGTATTATGATAGCCAGATAATTTTGCGTCTGGTTGAGCAGAATCATGACCCATCGTTCGTCCAGAATTATGATCAGGGTCTGACCGGACCTTTAGGCAGACTTCTACCTAATGGTCCGACCAGATGCTAAGTCTTGCTAAGATATTATCTATAATGCCCAGATTTAATATTTGCTCTTTGTGATCCATGTTCATCCAGAATTATGACTGACTGATATTTAACCAACTTTGAAATCAAGATTAATATACAGTACCTTCTCTTTATTCTATAAAAGCAAATTACTTCTTTAAAAGTTGCTCAGTATTATGACTAAAGTCTCCACATTTATCTGCGTCTGTTCGTTATGATCAGATTTTATATCCGTGAATTCTATATTTTATGTTTCAACCTTTTTTTTTAAGTTTATTTTAATAGTAGTTACTTTTTTAAATAGAGGCCTTTCGCCTGGAGTTATGATAAGGTTTGACAAATTTTATGCAGAATCTTTTTAGACACTTGAATAGAATTGTGATTCACATTCACCATTAGACTTGTAACTTTTTTTTTATTGAGTCGTAAATAGGTTTCACTCTTTTGTAAAGTCAGAATTACAGTGGAGGCCGAATATACTGCACTACCTGAATGTAAAAATTAGAATAGTAGAATCTCATAGTTCAATATTTGCAGTGATGCAAAAATATTTTATTAAGTACAACACAATCAGTTTATATAATTTTTTTTTTAACCCTCTGTCAGGTTAGTTATGTATGCTTTATTAAACAATTGTAAGCTATACATTATATATGTAATACTAAAGTAAATTTCTAACTAACTCACTTGTCAAAGTTTTTATTTAAAACTCTAAGTACAACTTTGAAGTGATTTATTATTCCATTAGGAGTTTGAATAAAAACCCTTTCAACTTCTAACATTATTATCTGCAGGTTACTACTGCTTATACAATCAATTTATATAATAATATATAGTAGTATACTTTATATTTATTGAATGGTAATAATAAAAGTTTTATTGAAAATATATACTATATATATATTTTTTTTTAAATGCTGGCTCATTCTTTCATTAGCATTGATATCTTTATTAATTATTAAGATAAATTCTAGAAATAATTGGGATGAGTAGTTACAGACTAACAAATAGTACAAGGAACATTTATTTATATCTTATTCAATCAGGATAGGGGAACTACTACTAGTTGAAATTATATTATTCGACTACTGAATTATTGCTGAATTTGACAAAAATTAATAATAAAAAAATTAATAAATTATTTACGATTGCTGCTACTCGGCATTAAAAATATCAGTATTTTGTGAAAAAAAAAAAAAATTCAGCACAAAATCTGGCAATATTGCAGCAAAAAAAATTTTTGCAATAAAAATTTGACAAAAAAATTGATAATGTGTAAAAAATTCAACAAAAAATTGGTACTGCAACAAAAAATTCAGCAAAAAAATTTATACTGCGACAAAAAATTCAGCAAAAAAATTGATACTGCAACAAAAAATTCAGCAAAAAAATTGATACAGTAACAAAAAATTCGGCAAAAAAATTACTGCAACAAAAAATTTGACAAAAAAATTACTGTAAAAAAAAATTCAGCAAAAAATTACTGCAACAAAAAATTCAAATTTCACAAAATTTATTAAAAAATTACAAATTCAATTAATTAAATTATTCATCATTTTCCTTTTTCTCTTTCTCTTCTTCTTCCTTTTCTACTTGCTTTTCTTTTTCCTTTAAAAATCTCAGCTTGACTTTTTTAAAACTAGTCCCAATTGGTTTTATCTTACCAAATGTTTTCCAAGATTTTTTGCTTTTTTCTTCTAATCTAACTGCCCCCTAAATTTCACCCATTAATGCACTTTCCCCAATTTATTTCTCACCCTCTAAATACATTAATGATTCCTCATATTTCATAATTTTTTGTCTTTTGGATTTAACAACTGATTTTTTACCTTTTTTTATCTCTTTTTCTTGTTCACGTTCTAAAGTTTCTTTCAAACTGTATGCCCAATTTGGCAAGCCTTCTGGTGACATCATATCATAGAAATATAAATCATTATAATATTATTTATGAGTCATCTGGAATGCTTGAATTGATTTTGAATGTTCATCCAAATATATCAACAAATTATTTAACTATAAGAAGTAATTATAATTAATATTGTAATTATTTGACATATAATATTTTGCTGAAAAATACCTCTTCAGAACATTAACTGTAATTATATGCATTTATTCTTCTTTTAGTGAAGTTTCCCAAATCAGTGCTACTTTCTTCAGATGAATGTACATTTGTTTCTTTAATTACATCAGTTAATTTATTCCGATATTTAACAACTTTCTTTGATCTTTGTTCAATAAGTAACTGTGTGTTTTTAATTCTTCATGTCCTTTTCTTAATTATTTGTTAAAAATTAATACTTGAAAGTAATATAAATGTAGAATATTATTAATCTTTCTTCATTTAATCAGCTATTTGCATGTAAGCAATGATTGTCCACTTCTAGTTTTCCAGTTTTTACCTTCCAATATCTTCCTCTCTAATAATGATGTAAAGCACCTAACCATTTGTTTATTTGCTTTCATGAGGGATTAAAATGTGAGACCATAGATTTTATTAATTTGGGTATCAACTTTTATAATATTTTTTTATTCATATCATTCGAAAAAACTTCATCTACTCTCAATTTATATTTGTCCAAAATGGGTTTCATTAAGGTCTTCATTTCTGCTCTCGCTTCTTCTAGTTTCGGCTCATCTTTAGTAACTGGTTTTATAAGTTTTGTCTCTTTACTACTCCTTCAGGTTGAATTATTCAGTGCTTTTCTAAACTCGGCAAACTTTCAAATTCTGATATATCAGTTGCTCTAGATTCTACAATAACTATAGGATCAAGTTCAGGTTTCACAAATTTAAGCTGATCAATTTCCTTTTTTAAATCTTCTATTTCATTTTTTTGCTGTTCTGATTCTTCGAAAAACTTGTTGTTAATATATT